CTGATCAGGCCTGGTTGGCTTCAGCAAGGTGGTTGCCTCAGCAGCCTTCAGATCATACCTGTTGGATGCTGACACTTCAGTACAATTTTATAAATTATCCTATTTCACTTCACAACAAATTTGTGCTGTTAGGCTGAAAGATAATGATTTGCCCAAGCTATCCAAAGTGCTTCCTGGAAGAACAAAAATTTAAACTCTAATTTTCCCAGAATCGACATATGCTACTTGAGAACACCAAGTCCTAAAATAAATACAGTGGTACCTCGGTTTTCAAACATCTCCATTGATGAACATTTCGGTTTTTGAACACGCCTCGGAAGTCAAACATGCCACGCGGCTTCCGCTGAGTGCAAGATCCTGAGGCCTAACTGTTGGCTATTGAGTTTTTGGTTTTCGAACATTTCAGAACTCGAGCGGTCTTCCAGAATGGATTATGTTCGAAAACTGAGGTACCGCTGTACTGGTTTTAGGATGTAACATTTGGAGCAAACTGGAAAACACTAAATTCTATCAGTTTGCATACTGTTTATCCTGGTATTAAGCATATTTACATGCAACTAAACCACTGGTTTTACATTAGAACTTGTTTCCAGATAAGTGTGGTTAGAAGTGCAGCCTCTATGTGTTTTTTAAAATACTACAACTCGAGAAAAAGTGCAATAATAAACGCTTGTGAGAACAGCTAGATTTGAACCATTAATTAAGAAGTCAATCTTTCAAAACTAAGAAAGAATTAATAACTATTTCCAAAAAAAGAAGAAAAAGTTAAAACAGAATAAGAAATTAAAATCTTCCAGTTGTTTATAGTATATTACTATCTCCCTTAGACTGCAATCCTAGGCACACTTTCCTGGACACAGTGTGACATCCTTCTTACTCTAATTCCCAGTGCTTATCCTATTATGAGCTGGAAACGTTTTGTCCGAACAACTTTACTTTATTTGTTGGGCTTTCTCAATCTTTTGTGCTTTCTCTTATATTCTTATCAGTCATGCCAAGGACATTATTTAAGTCTTCTTAAGAACTAGCTATTTCCACAGTTCAGAAATTCTGGCCCTGATCCAGGGAACGGTAAACACACAATCTTCCCCAAAAGCAGAAGTTTTGTGTACATTGGCTTTTATGTGTATGTAAGGGGGATTCCTCTCTGGATTGGTGCCTATATCTATAAAAGGTAAAGGTACCCCTGCCCGTACGGGCCAGTCTTGACAGACTATAGGGTTGTGCGCCCATCTCACTTAAGAGGCCGGGGGCCAGCGCTGTCCGGAGACACTTCCGGGTCACGTGGCCAGCGTGACAAAGCCGCATCTGGCGAGCCAGAGCCGCACACGAAAACGCCGTTTACCTTCCCGCCAGAGCGGTCCCTATTTATCTACTTGCACCTAGTGGTGCTTTCGAACTGCTAGGTTGGCAGGCGCAACGGGAGCGCACCCCGCCGCGGGGATTCGAACCACCGACCTTTTGATCGGCAAGCCCTAGGCGCTGAGGCTTTTACCCACAGCGCCACCCGCGTCCCTGCCTATATCTATATCTATATGCATATATGAGGAAGCTGGCAGGGAACAACATTTCCAGGGAAAATGCATATTTAGAGATAGTTGATTCACTGGATAATTTTAACAGCCATTCTTCTAACTTGTTTGTTCTCTTTCCATTTGTGTGATGCAACAATACTTAAAAGATTGCAAAACTGCCCTCTTAGGACCCAACTAGATGTGACGCAACAGAACTGTGGTCAGATTTACCACTGTCTGGGCTCAGGATAGATAAAATTGGAAGAAATTGAAAGACTGCATACTTGCCCCAGTAAGCTGGGACTAAGTCCCATTGCATTCAGAAGGGTGGTTTAACATCATGGCACAATGAAAATATCAGATTCTACCTGTCTGATATTAACCCAGAGGTAACTGCAAGGGTGGCTGAGTTTCTGTCAATAGTATCTCTTAAAGTAGTGAATGGCACGGTTTAGCGGGAAGACACTCCAATGAAAATTGCTGTTACTATATATCTTATATGGCTGCGTGTGTGTGTGTGTGTGTGCGTGTGTATGCGTGTTTTAAGATCTATATCTGTAATGCCTAATAAAGGTTTGGAGAAAGAGAATTCAGTAGGACTAACTTCTTAGTAGACATGGTTAGGCATGCACTGTAAATTTTCTGAACGAATCTTAAATAGTTTGGGTTGCATCCAGAGTAGACCTTCAGAAAAGGAGTAGGATACAGGCCAAGGGTGGCTGTGGAAGGGGGAATCACCGAAGCTGGGAAGAGGGCAGCTTGTACAAACAGATGCAACCCTGTATTTTCAAAACAAAGATCATAGGTTACAATTAATTGCAAGTTTTGTCCTTTCTACATATGACGCGATCACACCTATAAAAATAAATGCTCGCTTATATCTGTATTGCTTTCTTCCTCCTCCTCCTCCTCATGAAATCCATGTCCCTAGATAATAGCAGACCATTTAGCTGGTTGCATTTACCAAATAAAAAAGCAAAAAATGATTCCCACCCTCCCCCCCATACGTCTGCAATTCTCAGTTCAGAAATCTCATTGTGCAGTGGGGGAGGTACATTAATACAATTAATTAAGGCTACTTCATAATGTATTCAAAGAAGGCCAAACTATAGTAGTCATTCGGCCTCACACGTTTGTATCCTGACAGGCAGAGAGGAGACTCATCTTGCCATTCTGTGTCAGTTCTGTCCCATTTCTTCTCTTTTGGCTTTAAATCTTTATGCAGTTAGTATATTATCATTTTCTACATAAAGAGTAGTCAACATTCATGAATGCATACTTGTATTTTTCATACACAAGTATGACTGGGATTGATTGATTTTTTTTTTACTGCAAGTAAGAAGATTCCTGTTGGATCAGGCCAAAGGTCCATCTAGTCCAACATCCTCTTCTCACAGTGGCCAACCAGATGTCTACAGGAAGCCCATACGCAGAACATTAGCGCAATAGCATTCTCCCCACTTGTGCTCCCCGAGAACTAGTATGCAGAGACATACCACCACCAATTCTTAGACATCATGAATAGCATCCCTCAATAGTCTATTTTCCTCAAATTTATCTAAAGCCCTTTTAAAGCCATGCAAGTTGGCGGCCATCAAAACATCTTCAGGGAGCAAATTCTGTATGTGCTGTGGGAGGAACTACTTTCTTTCGTCTGTCCTGATTCTTCCTCCCATGCTAACCCTTGCACTGTATCCCACTGTCTACAGAAGAGGTCTCTGGGAGGGTAAAGGGTGCTGCATTGGGGATGAGGGGGGCGGAAAAGCAGACATTGCTTGTGTAGCTCCGACCACCTGAGAAACCTGTTTCCATGGGCATTTGGTCATATAGCCAGGTGAGCCAAGAACTATTAGGAAGTCAGAAGCATGGCACCAGGTATGGGGAAACTTTGGCCCTCCACTTGTTGCTAAACTGAAACTCCCATTGGCCATGCTTGCTGGAGCTGCCCCACAGTTGGTCTTGGTCCTTTTCAGTGGCTACACTAATAGCGTAGAAGAGCTGCTCCCATAAAGCATGGATCGTCCCGTCTCTGGCTTCCTGCTAAGATGTGTGTGTTTGTGATATCTACTGCTGTTGCTTTTAAATGGATTTTACTTTTGTGTTGTCTTTGTTGTGTGTTTTATTGTAGCCCCCTTTACTAGGAATAAACCCCATTGAACTAGTTGAGACTTACTTCTAAGTAGAGAAGTATAGGATGACACTGTCAAAGTTAAGTGTGTCTGATAACATGTGCTTAGCTCAGGACTTTTTTCTTAGTACCTGGACTGAACTTAAATTTCTCTCACACAAAAGTTAGATTTGCCCTCAAGTTTTCTCAATATCAGCAGACTAATGGGCCATAATATCATCAGAAGCACCTATAGTGACTATAAGTACAGGACACCTGAGTGTGGAGGTGAATTTGTGAGGAAGTGACAGGTGCATCCCAAAAAAGAGTTTGGGAATTGTGGTTTTCTTTAGGTTACAACAGAATACCACACCATTGTGGATGCTATTCAATGCCAGTCCTACCCAAAGTAGACCCATTGAGTTTAATGGACATGGCTAAATTAGATTCATTCTTTTTCGTGGCTCTACTTTGTGTAGGACACAATTGAATACAATCGTGTATAAACACATTATTTAGGAATTCTTTCTGCATGCACCACTGGCCAATTAGACTTTGCATAACTGTGCAGTGAAATGGTTAAAACCTTACTAATGGAAAACATGAGAGAGGGAGAGAGAGACTACTGCTTTTAGAAACTCCTTTATTATGGCATTTATTGGATGCAGTTCTTTAATAGGACCAGAAGAATATGTGTGTGTCCTTAAGTTTATAGATGAGATAGCTGTTTAATTATTAAAATGCAGAACAAACAGAATTGATTATAGAAAAGGAAATTGTGAAATACCATAATGCCAGTGCTTTTCTATTGAATGCTTCTATTTCCAAGTATGCATAAAGCTTAACACATGTAAAGAATCCATATACCTCACTCAATAGCTAAACTAATTTTCTGTTTTAAAATTTCTAGTTTCTGAAGACAAAACTTCAAAGGAAGTCAGACCTATGTTTATCCCTCTTATATGTCAGAGTTTAAATGCAATGTTTTATGTATACAGTCATCATGACAGTTGAAAGAGCTATGAGGAAAAGCAATTATATAATTGCTTCAAGTATTAAGTGGAAGGGATAAAGGTTTTTAGAAACCATAGAACTGTTTTAATAATTGTATCACCTGAAGTTGAGTAGCAAAATTATGTCCTGATTATTTATAATAAGTAATTAACTATATGCATGTATAGGCTATCACAGATTTTCAGCAATTATTTTTCACTAGCATTCTTGTGCATGCACACACACATATACAAACACCCCATCATTTTCTATTTTAGCAGTTTCCACAATTTAAATATTACATTCCTATTGTTTGCTTTCTGTTATATTAGTAGTGTGTGTTTTGCAATTCTAATCTTCACATTTTTCTTTCTTTATCACCAAAGTAAGCCTTTTGAAGCCGAGGAATTTTTCACAGCAATATTGACAGTGTTCACATTTGCATGATGACAGCCAAGGAATGGAGCAGTAATTTTTGAAATTGCAGAAGTATTTAGAACACTGATAAAAGCTGAAATATATTTTTGATGGATTGAAGTTAAGCATACATGATTTTTCCTGCTGTCAAAAGGCTCTGAATTTAGTGAATATTTGCCTGCTGTGAGAATGCAAGATTAACATCACAACCATCACCCGGGCACCCAAACCCTGCAATTTAATAGCTTTTTAGGTTCTTTCCTTTTTCTAAACAGCAATTAATCTCATTTTAGTACAATTTTCTCGTTTCTGAAGTTGCTCATTGAATCGCTGTTTTGTTCATATTTGGCTTCAGCTCCTCTGCATAGTCATTAAAGTCCCAATTAATGTCACCTTTAGCTGAAGAGTACTCATTTTTATTGAGAAAATGACAGTTGCTGCCATGAGTAGTGCAGTGTAATATACATTAATTGCCCTGTAACACTGGTAATTACGAGTTTTTCAAGCCTCTCAGTAAACTGTCATGCCTAGACAAGACTGTGCTAAAATAGATTACTCATTAGGGAGACCTGTCCTGTTTTCTGTTGGGTTCTTAGTGTTGGTTAAAAAAAAAAATCTTGAGCTTGAACAAATAGTTGCCAAAAGCAATTTCCTACAACAACATACTTCTGTTGGGTTCTCCACCTGTCACTTAAGTCTGCGGTCAGCAAATAGACAGGGTGCAGCAGACTCAAGAGAAGCTGAGATTTGGACAGTTTTTTTGCACGGTGCTCAGGAATAAGCTTCATAGTCCTTAATTCAGCACTGTAGCATTGTATTGTGCTGTGTTAAAACAGATACGTACTGCATTATGAAACAGAAATTGGTACTGACAGGGTTTGGTTAGTAAAATCATAACATCACTCACTGTCAGCTATATTGAACTTATTAAACTTGTAGCCAAATAGTTCTAAATTCAGAAATTATCAGGTCTGTTGAAGAATGATATATTTGGGTGTTTTGGGGGGTGTATCTCTTACACTTTTAGATTATATATCTGAAGAACATAGTGCTAATACTATGAGTGAAATAATTGGTTCTCAGTATCAGCCTTTAATACATGTTGTTAAATATATGTCACACCACCAACTGAGCTGAAAAATCAGGTGCTTCTAATTTCAGAACGAATGTATTTTTCCCTCTCTTTCCAGAGCATTTCTTGTTTTTCCATTTTTTAACATAATCACTTTTAAAGGCACGGCAGTGCTGAACTGAAAACCTTTGTTTTATCTTTGTTATAACACCTGCTTTAGGCAATCTGCTCCCTTTCCTCCCCACCCCCCAAATGAATTTTGTCACAGCCTTTCTTATTCTCTGATAGTGATGAGCTAATGAAAGTAGATAGTACAATTTGTGCTGACCAGGTAGCAACTGCCAGCGTACAGCTGAGGATAGTTTAAAGAAATAAATAAAATATAGCACTATATCACTGATTTACCCATTACACAACATTAATAGTGAGAGACCTTGGTGTGTTTATCTGTTTGTATTGGTGTGCATTTATCGAATTGTTTATGACAAGACTAATTGGGGTAATTGTAGACACTGAAATTACCTGTCAACTATATGTAACCACACTCCCTTTCTTTCTGACAAATGATGACAACTGAGGGACCCCGTAGCATTACTCATGATGGCTTTTCGAGTGGTAATAAGGACAATAGGGGCCCTGGCTAATTTGACATGGACAGCCTTCACAACAAGAAGCCAGCTAAATGACTTGTCAGTAGGGGAAAGAAGTCGGAAAAGTAATGGAGTCCCCCATGGCGCTCTGACAGGGAGATGAGGCAATTTCAACGGAAAGTGAAAAGGCTTCAGTTTGTCAAGTATTTAGAACAATCAGAGAACAGCTAGAGGCTGGAACCTGACAATAAATTTGTGAACCATGGTAGCAGTTTCATATAGGTCAGTTATTTCATAATGGTTATGCAGCTTTTAGAGGTTTGTGCTTTCGTAGTGTACTTCACATCCGCCAACTGGTGCTTTGTCACCTTAAATTTGTGCTTTGCTTTTACACAGTGGGAATAATAGTTAAGGTTACAGAGTAACAGAAGTGTAAGACAGCATGGTTTTCAGACCCCCAATATACTGAAAAATAAACAAAATCTGGATAGTAATCCTGTGATAGCATCCATTACAAGCCAGAGGTGTTAACACAGAGTGGTGGACTGCAACTTTCTCATTTGTGTTTTATTCAAAGCTTTCTTTTTTCTTCTTTTTTCTTAATTATTAAGGGTCAATTCCTGATGCTTTTTTTCTTGAACTACATTCCAATTTTTATGGTTTGCATACCTGTGGTTACAGACATGTATAACTAATTACACCACAAAAAAACTTGCATTTGTTTAATGTTTTGCTGAAAGACTGGAACATTAAATAGAATTATTAAATCTGAACTATTTATATTTTGAGATTATCATAATCTTGCTTTCCCCCTTATTTCCCTTAATTATTATTTTTTTATATATTCTTTTGGCGTTCATTTATTGATAAATACAGAGTAATTTTATATATCTGTCATTTGTATGGTTTGGCTGTATATTCTGATCTGGATTCTCATTTTACCCCTTTTCTTAGATTTAGTGAACACTTTCCCAAAGCAATCAGCAGCCATCTATATTTGCTTATGTATTTATCCTGTATACCAAGGAGCAGCCTTATCCTCTGACTACTGATATAACCAAATTGGCACAATCCACAAACAATAAGGAGGTATCAAGAGGCTTGGGCAAAGTCCAAACTACTAAAAATAAAAAATAAAATTAAGGGGAGGGGAGCCCTGTGAGAGAACCCCAATGAGGACTGAGAATGCTCAGTGGCCAGCAAATGCTGGCAACTATTGGTGGGAGAGGAAGGAAAACCAGAGAGAAGGGCGAGGGGAATGCAGTATCAGAAATAGGATATGAACCTGCCTCACTGGAACGCTGAATAGGAGCACTCCATACTGCAATGTATGTACCAGGTCTCACTAATAATTATTCCTCTTTTTCTATAGCATTTTTAAAGGCTTTTTCATTCCTAAGTGCTTTTTCATTCTTTTTGTATTTGTCCTGTACAGCAGTTACTTAATTGCATACTTCGGAGCTATGCAAAGATTTTGAACCCACATCTAAGTCCAGCATTTTGTCTGTCCATGTGAACTTCCTTCACTTAGCTTTCTTTTTTGGTCATGCTAACTTGAGTCTCATGAATAATCTAACTGCATATTTTTTTTAAAAAAAATGCAGCACTGTTGCCACCAAAGTTGCTGTTTCCTTCTTACCGCTTTGGCTCCAGAGCCCTTAAAGAAATGCTTCAGTATCAGTCTCACATGTTCATGTTATACTGGCCCAATCTGACATAACATTATGCCAAACCATGGCCTAGTGCAAACACGAAAGCATGTGGGCTCCTGGAACAGAGATAGTAGCCATTTTGCTCTTCCTCCCCTCCTCCTGCTGGTGTGCTGCTGTGAGCTAAGCCATGGTTTGGCTTAGCATGTTGTCCATGGTTTGCTCTTGAGATTGCAGCTTATGGTGTGCAGTGACACACCACTGCCCTGTCCCAGGGAGTATCTGTTGCAGTACTCTGCAGATTAGTTGTGCTGTTTCCCATTGGGAATGACAAAAAAGTAGACTAGGACCATTAGAGCATTTTGCTCAACTGTGAAATATGTTTATAGAGGCCATGTAGAAACTGACCCAGTGTAACTCAGCGTTGTCTGACCGCTAAGTAAGCTCAGTCTCCCCTTGGAGTTTTATTTCCTAAACATTTTTGTACTTCTGCAGGCCCCAGGATTCCACCAAAGATCCTGATACATCCCTCTCATTTTTCATCTACAACCATATTGTCACTTGAGAACTGAATTCACTATCTGAAGAAGAATTTATGAATTCAGCATCTGTTTCAGAGCTGGAATAAAACTATTGATTAATGATATTTAGTAGGTGTGTATATACATCTATTTAGTTTGTGTGTGTTTGTGTAGACAGATACAGATGAAGTGTGTGTGTTCATTATTCTGTTCAATACAAATGTAGCATATTAGGAAAAAATTAATTATCTATATATTATTGCTGTTTTTATTACAATTATGTATTTGCAAAGTCATTTCCCCTTTTTTCTTTTTTGTTAGTTGGATGTAGTGAAACCTATTTATCTAATAGGTGGCATATGTTGTAGAGAAAAACACAACATCCTCGTTTCCTCCAGACAATCAACCATGAAATAATTAACTGAACTTTTTGTTTTTCCAGCAGATTTTAAAGAAATACAATACAATTGAATTTGTCCAGGTTTTTAAGTGGGGAAGGGGACATAAAAGATGTGACCTAAGCATTTTATCTGGCCACATTCTCTTTTAACTGTTAAAATATCCCGAAGCACTCGATCACATTGCATTTTAATTTTAAAGCCATGTGTTCTATTAGTGAAGGGCACATGTTACTGATTTGCACTCAGAGTTCCAGCCTGTTTACCAGAACACAAGGCTGGCATGTCCAAAGTCTCATCTAGGTCAAAAGGCCTAGAGTCGACATCTTTCTGAAACTTTACCCTTGTGAAAACTGGAAGCTCTGATTAGCTCTGCCAACAGCCAATTGTATGGTTTCTTACTGCCACTGATTATATTAGCTTCACATTTATCAACGGCATAGCCAAGCACTTAACCTATTAACATAAGGATTTGTTTATTTAATGGCAGCTGCTATCCTCATCACAGTTGGGCCAAACCAGTGGAGTATATCTTGAAAGGATTTTTCCTAGTATGAAACAGCCCTCATATATTCAGTCATATTTAGGCTATATTTGGTCCTGAACCGTTAAATAGGTGTTTTGTAACTGACTTTTGTGACACATTGGTTTCAGTCTGAGATACTATTTGATGCCTAGATGTTTGCACAAAGAAAAATTACTTAACCATGTGTGTGTGTGTGTGTGTGTGTGTGTGTGTGTTAACACAAACCATGAGGTACATTTAACACACCAATTCTATATGTGTCTACTCAGTAGTAAGTCCTATTGTTTACAGTGGCCCTTGCTCTCAACATAACCAACAGGCAGCTACTCCTATGGTGGGAGTGGATTGCGCCCAAATATATAAAGTAAATATTTAAAAATTATACTACACACACACACACACACACACACACACACAAAATATCCTTGTACATAGAAAAGTAGCATCAAGTTCTGCTAGCCTATTTTTGTTGAGTTTCTTCTAGTGTTCCCTTGACAAAATATCTGTTTTAGCCCCTCTGTCTGTCTCTCTCTTTTACAACTGTTCAGTTAGTGGTTGGGGTTAGTGGTTTTATTTAGTCTTGTGTTGTTTTTAGCATTCTTTTTTGTTAGGTATTTCTTAGCGCTTGTTCGCCTCCTAAAAAGGCAAGATATAAATACCTTAATAAGTAGACAGAATGATCCCACTATTTACACTTTGTCGTTCTATTTTTAGTGCACACAGAATTCTTTGTGGCCCACAGTGAAATAAAGCTAATTTACCCATGAGTTATAAAATGCTAAAGGGAATGTTACCTGAGAATCACAAGATCCCATGAAGATTTTTAGTGGTTTCATTTTATGTGATCAAGAAAACATCCTAAAATCCATCATCCCTTGGATTATCGTCTCCTAAGTATTTTATTAAGACCAGTATTTAAAAGCAAAAGCCTTTCTAGAGCGAACATTTCCATAAATTTGCACATACATAAATACTTATGTGTTAAGCCAGAGCAAATAAATACAGTAAAGAGAAAACAATGCCTAATCAAACAAACTTCTCAATCCACTTTGTGTAATATCTTAGAAGTTTCCATGCTTGGAAAATGAGGTTCTTAGAATTAACTAATAGTTCAAAGGTGGTGTAAATTACCTGGAATTACAAATGAATTGTAATTCTTACTTTTACTCCTTCAACTGGAATTATAGCTCTTTTAATCTCTAGAATTTACCATTTTTCTCCTGTTGCCATAGTGAAATTAGGTAGCACGAGCAAAGCTGCAGGGTTTTTTTTTTTCTTCTCTTTGAACTTAGTTAAAAATAATGCTTAATCTATTAGGCATGCTCTTAAAATATGCTTTAAAAATGTAAATGTAAAAGTAGAGCAGGTGGAAAGTCAGAGACTGACAGGTTTAGAAATGAGAATCCTGTTTATCCATGTGCAGTTTCAAGGAAAGATTTTGCCCCTTTATTGGTTACTTTTTGCCTCAAAAGACATTTTAAACCCAAAGAAACATTTTGCTTTGCCAAGTTCACTGGTTTGAAATGCAAGTGTGATCTCTACACATCCAAAAACAATCCAAACTTGTGAGAGTAATAGCTTTTGCTACTGAAACGGGAGGATTTATTTTGATTATATATTTTCTGGTTTTATATTTTGATTTTGTTATATGAACCTCCCTGAGACCTCTGGGTATAGGGTGATATATAAATTCAATTAATATATTTTCCTACTGAGTTTTTTTTCTGATGAAAGCCTCTATTTACCTGTGGCCCTCCAGATGTTGTTTTCCTTCAAATCTAATCTCATCAACCCTGCCCGTTGGTCATGCTGACAGGAGTTGATGCAAGTCCGATAGCATAGGAAAGGCCACAGCTCCCCCCCCCCCTTATTTGCTAGCTCTTGAATCACCTGGCTGTCAAAAAATGCTGGTGTAATCTTGATTGGGTTTTGCTCAATTACAGTAGTAAGCAGTAGCAGGCAGCGGGGTTGTGCTGCGTTGTTACCTGGCTGAGTTGCAGCTGCATGCTGAGATGGAGATGGGCAAGTTTGGTACAGTGCAAACACACAGGCAGAAGCACCAGATTTGCTCCATTGGCACGTTCGCACCACAACAATCTCACATCCACCTAGCCCCTCTTCATCTCCATCCTGTTATACACCAGCCATTTGGCCAGAGGGAGATCAGGTAAGGGGCACAGCCCCAATACATCATCCGCTACTGATTTTTATCCTGTTTCTCAAGCAAAGGCTATCGGTGCTTACTAAGATGGTGGCTCTGTCTCTACAGTTGGCAATAATGCTTCTGAATACCAGTTGCAGGAAACCACAGGAGAGGAGAATGCTCTCGTGCTCTAATCCAGCTTGTGGGCTTGGTCGCTGTGAGAACAGGATGCTGGGATAGCCATTGCCCGGATCTAACAGGCTATTATGACCTTCTTACACTCAATTAAGGGATGCGGGTGGCGCTGTGGGTTAAACCACAGAGCCTAGGACTTGCCAATCAGAAGGTCGGCGGTTCGAATCCCCGCGACGGGGTGAGCTCCCGTTGCTCGGTCCCTGCTCCTGCCCACCTAGCAGTTTGAAAGCACATCAAAATGCAAGTAGATAAATAGGTACTACTCCGGCGGGAAGGTAAACGGCATTTCTGTGCGCTCCTCTGGTTCGCCAGAAGCGGCTTAGTCATGCTGGCCACATGACCCGGAAGCTGTACGCCGGTTCCCTCGGCCAATAAAGTGAGATGAGCGCCGCAACCCCAGAGTCGGCCACGAATGGACCTAATGGTCAGGGGTCCCTTTACCTTTACCTTTTACACTCAATTAGTATTTTGTAGTGTTACCCTTCTACTTTGAAAGTAATGCAAAGCATCTTTTTTCTTCTTCTCTGCCTTTATTGAACTATGATTTATTTATTTAGAAAAGCTTTATAAACTGCTTAATCAAAGATCGAATCTCTGGGGTACATTGCAAAGCTGTAGATAAAAACCACAAATCTGTTTTTTATCAACTAAAACACAGATAAAATCAGCAAAAATGTTAAATGTAGGCAACCAAATCATATATCTGGATAGGCTTGCTGAAATAAAATTTAAAAAGTTGTCAATAGGTATATAAAACAACATAGCATGGATGCCTGCCTTATGTCAATAGATAGATTGGACTATTAAATAAATTATTACTTTACAACAAGAGATGAATTAGACAAGTGCTTATGAAACCTTGTTCTAAACAGTTGCAGGGATGGAGGTGTTAATAT